GTTTTTGTGAACGTAAGAGTTCATTTTTTACAGTGCGCATCAAAATCCAATTCTTAAAACTGACTAAACAAAAAACCCCAAAAACAAAAAATTAACAAAACCAAATATTACGGGTCTTATCAGGAACCTTCTGATTCTAGCAGAGGTTTCACATTTGACACAACTTTAGTAACTCTGTTTTCTTTCCTTCCTTGGCCTCCCAGAGTCTGTTGACTTGCGAGCTGCCTTTTTAGCTTCATGAACTTTGCTCTGAGCGGCTAAGTACTCAAATGCCACCACGACATCGCCTATCTTCGGTCTGCGGTTCGCTTCTTCGTTCAGGCACATATCGATTATCGCAATCGCATAACTAAGACACCTCTTTGAAAACTTTCCATGCAGCAACGGGTCCGCTAGGAGTCCAAATTTCTTAGGGTCCTTTAGATGAGGTCGAGCCTGCATATACACACGAGCAAAAAATGGTAAAACGAGAGATCGAGATCCGGTTTAATCCGGTTTTTCGATTTTTAGGTTTACTTACCCAAGCAACAAGGTACTGCTCTCCGCTAGGTTTACTCAAATCAATAGCTTTCCTGCCAGTAATCAACTCAAGCAACACTACACCGAAGCTATAGATATCCGATTTAATGGTTAACTTTCCGCTCATCGCGTATTCGGGAGCACAATATCCGTAAGTACCCATAACCCGAGTCGACACATGCGTCCGGTTTCCAACAGGACCGACTTTGGCAAGTCCAAAATCAGAGAGTTTGGGGTGAAAGTCTCTGTCTAACAATATATTTGCCGGTTTCAAATCGCGGTAAATCACGGATGGACTTATTTTACAATGAAGATACTCGATCCCACGAGCTGCACCAACCGCGATTTTCATTCGAGTATTCCAATTTAGCGGAGTCTGATCAGGCTCAAGATCTAAGTTAAAACAACAAGAAGACATGTTAGTTAATCAAAACATGATTCCAATAGATTTTGGTGGGGATTTAGAGAAACACACTAACCAAAAAGATGATCTTCTAAGCTACCCATTGGCATGTATTCATAAACAAGAAGTCTTTGAGCACCAGAAGTACAATAACCGATTAAAGTTACTAGATTTGGATGATGAAAAACGCTAAGCATAAGAACTTCAACTATGAATTCTTGATTTCCTTGATGACCATCAGGGTTTAATTGCTTGATAGCAACCACCTGTTTAAATTCACAATTTAAATTTGTTACATCATTTTCAGATTATAAAATATATACATGTTTTGATTAAAGAAAAACAGAGCTTTTACTCACTTGTCCTGAATATAAACGTCCCTTGTAAACACTCCCAAATCCTCCTTTTCCGATCATATTACCATCCCGGAAATTCTTCGTTGCGGCGGCTAACTCCTTGAACGTGAAACTCCTTGCACCACCTCCAGGTTTAGGACTATTCACTTTCCCATTAACTGACCAAAACCCATGATCAAACATTAGTTTTTTCACCAATTTTGTTTCAAAATGTAATGAAGATATATTTCAAACAAAATTTCAATCCCCAAACCTAAAATGCCAGATTTGGACCCTGTTCCTATTCCTGTTCCCGTTGAATTGCTTCTTGTGTCAGCTGCAAATACAAAGAAATGATACAACTTTTTCATGAGATTTCATTATAAACAAATAAAAAAAAAGAGAGATAAGATATTTTTTTTTATTAAAAGAAAAGACCTGAGGAATGATCAGTTAGGTAAGGAAGTGCATGAATGTTGACTCTCATGTCATTGGTTTGTGTATTGAGACAAGAGAAACACCTCATTTTTTTTTTTTCTTTATAAAAATTTTACAATAGTTTTTAAACGTAAATAACCAAAGAAGAAGATGATGATGACAATACAACAATGGTGGAAAAACAAATAAATTGGATCAGAAGCGGAGCTAGTTTGAGACTATGTCAAAACATTAATCATCAAACCTAGCTCCTAGAACCCAACAC